GAGTAGATTGGGGTTTAGTGAGGTAGAGAGAGCAAGAGTAAACAGAAACTCAAGCCTACTATGGAACTTCTGTGAGCAAACATAAACTCGAGTGGCTGTTCCTTCAGAATTTATTTGTGACAGTTGATTTTCCTTTGAAGATTTCGAGTTGAAGGAGTTTTGAGAGAAAGAGTAGATTTGGGGTTTATGAGGTCGCGAGAGAGTAGATTTGGGGTTTTTGAGGTAAAGAGAGAGAGTAGATTTGGGGTTTGTGAGGTAGAGAGAGAGACTAGATTTGGGGTTTTTGCGGTAGAGAAAGAGAGAGTAGATTTGGGGTTTATGAGGTAGAGAGATAGAGTATATTTGAGGTTTCTGAGGTAGAGAGAGAGTAGATTTGGGGTTTATGAGGTAGAGAAAGAGAGTAGATTTGGGATTTCTGAGGTTTCACGGTGTGGGTTGTTGGGTCACAAGGTGGGGTTTGCACGGGGTGAGAGAGTTGCACTTCCATAAAAAAAAAATTCAAGTCTAACTTGAATTTTTTACAGCAACTTTTGCCTTGATACTACAGAATTTTTTATTTCAATCTAAAAATCAAGTAAAATCTTGTGGTTTTCCAAACGTTTCAAATCTATTTCACAAGATTTTTGGATTGCAATTCAAAAATATTGCAATTTTGGGTACATCCAATCTAGCACTTAGTTATTAGGAACTCTGCATGAGCATATGTGATGTAGTAGGATGGTAGGAAACATATTTAAGGTGCCAAACTGCCTAGAACTTTCCGTGAGAGTTTAGGATGGGGAATGAATTGTGAATTTATGGTTGTAATAAGTTTGGCAATCCCTTTTTGGCGGTTAATGGAACAATTTCACCAAAAAGGATGGATTAGGCAATTGAGGTTATGGGTCTTATAATCACAACCCCCCCCCCCCGCCCCTCCAATTTTTCTTTTTGGTTGTTAATTGAAATGGATGAGGTATGCCGATAGAAATAGTAGTGTTATGCGAAGAGCTTTGAAGGATGTGTATGAAGTTGAGACTATTATGTGAGGTGCTTTGGAGGTGTTCCATGGTGTCATTAGGATCTTCTCTGTGGCGAAGAACTGTGGTAGATTGGGCAGGTTGTTGACTTGTAGAGTTAGATGGATGAGTAGCTAGAGTTCTAGTGGGTATGAGGTTTCATGTTTGGAAGATTGGTAGCATGTTAGGAATATATCTTGTGTGAAGGTGAACCATGAGGTCATATATATTTGACTTGTTGAAGCATTTTTCTAATAGGTAGGCTTAAGTAGCTGGATGCTTTGAGAGTGGTGTTGGTGGTCGAGGGGATGGTGGCATTATTTCCAATCCTAGAGAGAGGGATTCTATTGAGCATTCTTTTTGAGGATGAGAATGCCTGGAATCAGTTACAGCTGGTATTCTTTGGGTGCTTTTGAATATTCTCGCTTGGTCATTCTGTTAGACCCACAGTTGTGGGAACCTGGGATTAAGGCCACTGCCCCACCTTAGGAACTTGAACCCGTGGTTCTTCTAAGGGATCTTAGAGCTGGGTTTAGGGAAATAGGGATCTCATCCCTATAAAATGGGATCTCGGTCTACATGCTTGTAGGATCCCTCCAAGAGTAGGAGTCTATACTATTAATTGAACTACTGCTCCTTCCCTTAGTGTTATATGTTTATTTCTTTAGAATATGTTAAACTATGGTGCATATCACATAGTGTTATACTAGAATTATGATATTAAAAGACTACAATTTGATATCATGGTAAGCCAATTTATGATGTTGTGAAACCGATAATCCAATTTATGATGTTGTTAAACTGTATTATTGTAGGAAATTGGAGTACTATAACTATTGCATTGGTAATAAGCTAATGTGCATGATAATGGATCAAGCGGCCATTGGCTCAATCCTAATTTTATCATATACTATTAATTGATCTCATTTTATGTATAATTGATTTGTGAGCCTTCCTTTGAGACAATACCCAAGTAATTTGTTTTTGATCTCTGACAATTAGGCTTCCCAAATAATTCTTGATGGTGATTCTTGGTGTAGAATATACTTTTCCATGTAATACTTGGCTTTAAATTAGATTGAACTTCTATCACTGCTCTATGGTGAATTTTGATTGATCTTCTGTTTGCTGGGGGACTTTTGTGCTTAATTTATTCATTTTTAAGATGGATGGTCTTCTTTATGTTTATCTGGTTGAGACAGTTGTGAATGAACAATGAACATGCACCCACATTTTCTATGCTGTAACAGTTTCAGACTGCATGCTTTGCATCTGCCATGGTGGTTTGAGCCAGACACTTAAATCTTATTTTAGAGAGAGTTGCGTTTTTTGGTATTGCTTTTCACATTTCGGCTATGTTCCTTGTTCAAATTTAACTGCTTGATCTATATGATCTCCATTTTTCAGAATGTTGTTTTATTGCTCTATGCCTTGAAATATCCATGGATGTTGTTCATAATTGTTATTCTCACTTTGCATTGGTCAATTAGTTCGCATTTTGAAGTATTTTTGTGCTATATTCTGAATCTCTAGTGCCAACAGTTGCAGCCCATCTCTTTTGCTTTCTTTCCTTGGGCAAAAGTAGATGGCTGTGATTTAGGTTATCAAGTAGTTTTTGTGTCGTTTATTTGAAGATGGTCATAATGTTGAAGAGCTTGGGTGAACAATCCGTATCATCGAATGTTTTGGAGTATGTTAATTTATTTGTTGGGGTATGTTAATTTTTTGTCATTTATGGAGTTAACATAGCAGTTTAGTGTTTCTTTTTTTGTCATTTATGGAGTTAACATAACAGTTGCATGTTTCTTTTTTTGTCATTCATGGAGTTAACATAGCGGTGACATGTTTCTTAAAAAAGCATAATTGTAAAAAATGACCTGAAACTAATAAATGCACATTATGTTTTTTATTTTTTGTATTCTTTGTAATCCAAGTGTAGATATGCTCCAACAGAGCTCCTCATATTGTTGCAATGTGGGGGAGCCATGTTCTTTGCTAGTAGAGAGCCATGAGCTTACTCTCACACATGGGCTGTCTCTTTCTTGTTTCCATAAGTTAGTTCATATGCTTGTTGATTATTTGTACTTGATGTGTACTAGTCAAACTTTGGTACAACTTAGGTGTGTTGGGGTTGTTCACCATATATGGTTCTTTTTGTTGTTCCCTCAAGACTTGTACTCAAGTTTCTGGATATCAGTTGTTTTGTGATGATTTGGCTGAATTTGATCATGACTACAAACTCTTTTGCCTACTGTGTATCATTAATTTGGGAGTTTTCTGCTTGGTTTTTTGGTTGATGGCTTGTTCGGTCATTTTATGTGGTGCTTAAATTTGAGTCCACTGCTGATTTTCTTTGATTGATGGCTTTGGTGCTTTATTATTTTTTGTTGTTGCATGAGCATGCTTGTGGAATGAATGACATTGAGTTGTGATGAATGTGTCTGATTCAGGTGTTTTACAGCTGTTGCGCCGGAATTGCTTTGAATGGTTGTGGTGAATGACGACATTGTATCTCTCTGCTGTGATGAATGGTTTATCAAACTTTTCTGGCAACTCTTTTTTCTGATGGTTTTTATCTTGGTAGCTGGGTTGATAGTATAAACAGTAGATTATGTAGTAGTTTCCCTTCTGGCATTTGAACCTTTGGGCTGTTTGTGCACCCTCTCCCGATTTGTCTAAATACTTGTTTTGTTATGGCATGGGCACAATCTCTCTCTCTCTTTTTTTGGTTGTTTTTTTATTCATGTTGTGGAAATATGGTAGTTTGCAAATTTTGAGATGTTGATTTGATTAGTTTTCTACTATAGACAAATAGCCTGATCGGGCCATTCCATTCGGCAGTCTCATCACATGTGATTTGAGATGGTATGGTTCATGTCTCTTGATCTGCTGTGCAACGACCTTTTTTCATATTCGAGAGTCAGGTTGCTTGCATCATTTTGGATGTCTGATTAATTGCTTGTGTGTGTTGATACCCGATTGATTATGCGGTTGCATCTGTGTTGATTGTTCTCTCATTTGTTCACTGTTTTGATTGTCATAAAGTGGCTTGATGTTTTGTGATTTTCTATTTATGCGGCTTAGTGGCTTGTCTAGTATGTGTAGCATGTCACCCTGCACGCACGGCTGTTGTGTGGTTTGATAATGGGATGCTGTGTGCTAATTTAGTTGCTTTGCGTTTCTGTTATGTGATCCATTCTCTATGTGAGAATGTTGTCATAGGGATGTTAGGCTTTTCTGCCATTTTCTGTTCTCTAGATTCTGTTTCATGTTTGGTTTGGTGAGGCAAGGATCCAATTTTGGTGAGCTTTTACTTGTCTATAGAGTGGGTATGCGTTCAGTTCTCTTCTTAGATAGATAATGTGTGAGAAGTGGACCTGCCATTGTGCGGGATCTGTGTCCTCTAGAACTGTTCTTCTGCAGAAGGGTGTGCCTGAACATGAATCAGAGTTCAGCAGCGATTCATTGTGGATGTGTTGATGGAGATGGTGGCAGTTAGCCTGATTGATGTAATAATGGCTGCGACTCGGTATATGGAAATATAAAATGTACGTGTGAAACTTGTGATCCTGAGGCCTGTAGGCCATGGAAGTCTGGTTAGTGCAAACGTGGCGGATCTCTGTTAGCATGTTACGTTTTCCTCTGTTGGCACTAACGTCATGAGAGCTGTTTTTGAGATTGATCACTGTAGATTTTCAAAACCGTTTGACAATAAAACTCTAAGGAGCTCAAATCCAACGTTTTGGTTTTGAGATTATCACTTCATATTTTTAAAACAACCACCCAATTTGAAATTTGGCGAGATTGTGATTTCTTTATATTAAAAGTAAATCTACTAGTTTACACATGTTCAAGTTGGATTTGGGTTCAGTCAGGTTGACCCTGGACCTGTCAGGTCCGACTTGGGTCTAGAGTTTTGTAGTCCCAACCCATTGGGTCCAAAACCTGGACCACAATTTGGACATGACCTGATTTGGGTTGATCTGTTGGGACCTTAGTGCGGCTTTACCCGATTGCCACCCATACTGATTCCACGGTTTTAAAAGTAATTCTTAATTATACTAGTTGGAAGCCAAAATATATTTCGTCCAGAGCTATAAAACAATTGGTCGAGTCTTAAAGATTCATCCCGAATTTGCATTTCCATTCCTATAAGTTACTTGTAAATTTAAAGTAAGAAATAAATAAGGTGGATTGATGATAATACAAAAAAGTAGCACAGAGAAAAGACATTTAGAAAAGGGTGCAGTTTGTATAAGGTTGAGGTTCTAAACAATTAATTTGCACCTTCAAATATTATCGGGATTTCAATATTGGAAATCTTTGTAATAGCCTCAATTTATTTTCCTCTCTAATTATAAAATTTAAAGCTTAAAAAATGGTGTAGATCAAGTATCTACAAAAACCTGAAAGTCTTAATGCACTATTTCAAAATCTTGAATTATTTTTATTTTTATTTTATTTTCTCATTTTCCATACATGTTGGGGCTGAGATGATCAATTAGAGGATTTTTGGGCATCGAAACTTTTGGTGAAATTTTGAGGTGCGGTTTAATTTGATTGCTCAGGGCCTCGCACTTGTACGAACTTTTGCTTAGAGCTTCGTAGTTATAAGAATTTAGAGACTCAAGGTTTTAAAAGATATCTTAGAGCATTAAAATTGTAGATTTTATTTTTTCTAACCTTTTGAGTTAGTTTAAACGTGTTTTCTTATGTTAAATACATTTAAAAGCGTGTTTTTTCTAAAAGCCATCTTTCCAAACTTCTAGAGAAAGAGAGGAGGGTTCTATGGAGGTGAGAAGTTATTAGGAGTAGAGAGGTGTTATGGGAGGCGAGAGCGTGAGAGAGATGTATGAAGAGAGAGAAAGAGAGAAGTTTGACGTATATAAGTAAAGAGATAGAAATGATTGGGTTTAGAATAACATGTTTTTTTAACATATGTTTACGTTAAAAAATAGGTTTAAAGTGGTCAGGGGTTTAGAAGATATTTTTTGAAATTCTAGGTTAATCAAAAAATGAAACTTAAATATAAAAAATATAGAGATATTTTTCCAATTAATGCGATGTGATAAGAAACTTTTCCCTAAAAAATATGCCCTAGTTTTTAGCTTCATTTTCATGACCCAATTTTTGAGGTTTGTTACCTTAGGTTTGGAGCTTCAAGTTCTGAAGTGAGGCCTTTTCCTTTCGATTAAGAGGTCGATTTAAATGTGGGCTTATTTTCATGTAAATGAATTTGTGCCGAACTTGAACATGCAATGTGCCCCCTGGACAGCACATTGTGCTCTTTAAATATCGAAATAACAATTGGGAACTTGAAGTTTCTAACGAGTCCTTCACTTTAAAAAATAATTACTTTTGAAAAATAAATGGTTTGGACTTTTAAGTTCTTAACTGGTCTTCCACTCAGTTTCTCAGTGAAATCTAGGTATAAAACTTGAAATTTCATCTACTTCATCTACAAAGATGATTTGGAACTTTAAGCCACAAATTGCTCAATCTAAAGAAAATGACCTTGGTTTGGATCTCTAATTTTAAATTGGAGGTGTTTTAAGGAGAAGAAAGAATATAAAAATATTGGGACATGAGCTTAAATTATGGTGACTAGGTGATAGTTGTAAATATTATAGAAATTAAGGGTTATTTATCAAAATATCACTAAGAATGTATTTCATACAAGTTAGGAGTATAAAGTGTTCCCACAGGAAGAAAACACACAGTAGAGAAAGAAGAAAAGTAAAACACACACTAGACTAAGAAGAAAACTTTTGTATGTGCACTTTAGTTAGATAGAAAAAGAAGATTTGTTTCTAAAAGAGCAAAAAGGCTTAAGGTATAAAAAAAATTTCACTTTCTTTTTTATAAAAAAAATTGATTTTTTGTTTAATAGAAAAGGAAATAGACTGCAATATGGAACTTAAAGTTCTGAATAGGACGTAATTTGGAAAATATCAAAAATTGGGTTACAAGCACAAATTATGAGAATAGGAGATATTTTATAAATATCTAGATTAAGAGATATTTACAAGTTTTTTTTTCTTTTTCTTTTTTTTTTTAAGATGCTGGAGCTCGAGTAACGGTTTTTTGGGTCTCTTTCATGCCGCTTGTGAAGAGAGGAATGAACTTTTCGCAATATAATTTAAGGGCAGTTTTTTTCCCTCTGTATAAATTCATTTTCTTTTTTCCTTTTAGGATCTCTCTCCCAAAAACTACTAAAAGAAAAAAAGAAGAAGAGAGAAACTAGAGAATAGAAAATGCAGGCTTGAAATGATTTTCCCTGGGAAGAAGAAATTGAATTTAGCCTTGTCAAGCCTTCAAAATCATCGGCGTTGGGGTTCGGGTCGTGGTAACTATTAATGATTTCAAAAAATGAATTTAAAAAACTACTAAACCTAATGCATTAAAAAAACTACTAATGATTTCAAAAAATGAGTTTAAAAAACTACTAAAGATTTTAAAAAATGAGTTTAAAAAACTACTAATGATTTCATAAAATAGTTAAACGCATTAAAAAAATTATCCCCACTGAATTACTACAAAAAAAAAACCTTCAAAATTGTAATTCAAGTCAATAATTGGATTAAGATCAGCGGACGCCCTATGACACCCTCAACTACTTCCATTGTTTCCAGGTAGATAATTGAGTATCCATGAAGTTAAAGCGAGTTGTTTTATGGTAAGCTGTTTATCCTCTTTTCCAGAAACGTACTATGGCATTTAGATTAGAGAATTTTTTGAAACTTCATGGGAAAAGCCAAATCTAAAATAAGTTATGTATACCTCTCTCTCTATATATATATATATATATACGAAAAAAGCTGGGATTAGCTCACTAATTCATATGAACATATGAGTCCAACGGTCCAGAATGAATCTGGGCCGATCCGACGGTCTCGACTCCATTTCGTGTTTGAATTTTAATTTTTTTTTTTACACATCCAAATCATTTGATGTTTTTTTTTCATCAAGGTGTACTCAATTTTGGATTTGTAGAAAAAAAATTAAAATTCAAACACTATCGAACATCGATGATCGTTAGATCAATTCATATTCAATTTGAGCTGTTGGGCTCATATGTTCATATGAGCTAGTGGGTTAATCCTAGCTTTATATATATATATAAGCAATGATACAATGCAACGGTTGTATCATAGTATAATGCAACGATACTTTTAGAAAACCATGTTTGTGCTATTTGTATGACCTCAAATTTTACACACACACAATCTCTTCATCTCAATAATCAATTATAAAAAAAAAAAAGTTCAATTTGAACCCTAGATATGGTCAAAATGAGTTCCCTCCAAAAATGAATCTAGATCATTCATTTTGTGAATTTCAAGATCTTAGCTTTTATAAATTCAAAATCATTTTTTTCTTTTTAAACATTGTTCATCTAATGATAATAAACCATCCAAAAAATTTGAAAATGAAAAAGTTCTTCTAAGGCCTAGATCTAAGCATCTCACCAAAATGAACGGCTTATGGTAATTGGGCTAAAAAAATACTTTCTAGGTTGTGTTTTCAATTTTTTCATTTTTGTGATTGTTCAATAGAATGAAAAAAGTGTATATTTCAAAATTTGGATCAAACAAATAGCTATAAGATGGTTTTTTAAAGTTGTATCATATTACT